AAAAAATAAAAAAAGAAAAAAAATGATAATAATAAAAATGTAGATAAGTTTGGTTTCGTAGCCTCCCTAACCTAAACAATTAAGCCCGAATGGGTGTTTTAACACCTAATACCCTAAAGTCAACTGACTTGGGAGCTATTGGCCCAACGCTTGTTACATGGGTTAAGGAGAAAATCTTAAGGGAATCAAACATTGCACTATCTATATATCAGTATATGCGACCCAAGTTACTAAGCTCGTAGGGGTGTCTTAACACCTAATGCCCTAAGACCAACTGGTCTGGGAGTCATTAGCTGAAAGCTCATTACATAGATTAAAGATGCATGATGTTTTAAAATTATATGTATATACATTTTAAAAAAAAGGAAGAAAAAAAAAAGAACTTTCAGCTATTGCATGATCTTTTTTTTTTTGTATTTTTTGTAATGTTTATGCTTTGCTTTCATTAATATCAAGTTTATGCCTTTTATTTCCTTTTCTTTACTTAGTTAACTCTTATCTTATTTATGTTCTTATTTTGTTTATTTATTTTTCTTTCTTTTATTATGTCTAGCTAAGTTTATTATGTCAAGGTGAAAAGGTTACACTAATGGTGTAAAAATAAGTATAGTGTAAACTCAATATGGACTTTAATGTTTGATACTAACATGTTTTGTATTTGTTATCTTGTTCACTCTTTAATACTTTGCTTGTTAAATGACTAATCTTGATTTATGTTGTATAACACTTGGTACAACAAATGCTTGGCACTTTCATAGCCCATAATGTATGGTATAACCGACACCTGAGCTATGAAAGGAACTTGATTTGTTGTTAACATAAGTTATAATCATGAATGCTTGACGAGATTTACAAGTATTAACATTAATTGAATAAGATGACTAATGTAATCATGTTAACAATCTATAAGCATCTCTTTTTAAAATATCATTATAGTCTCTTTCACTACAAAGATACTTAAGAATCTGAGAGTCCCTTAACCTACCATAGAGGATCTTTTATGGGTTTTTGGCTTCCCACATTAAGTTACATTTATTTTGGCTATCAAGACTGAAGCATATTGCTAGAACCAAATAATTAACCGAGTATTTAATACATAAGTTTTATTTCTAACCTACTTGGAATTTTTAGGATATCATCATCTTTCCTTGAAGCTAGTAAAACTTGTCTCTTAAAGCATCCTACCGCAGACCATGCTGAAGAGTTCCACAACCATCTAAGCTTTATGTTTTATTTTATAGAGTAATTTATAGTTATAATATTTATTTATTTATTTTACACAAATCTTATTATATTTTTATATTTTTCTACCAAGAAAATTGTTATAGTTTATTAGATTTCTCAACTTACCGACTACCTTTTTCTTTTATTGGAATTGTTGGAATTTAATTATGGATAAATTACTTTGAACATCTTTTTTCACTTTACAACTAAGTTTTTTTATTATTACACTTTGAAACCTTAGTCAAAAAATATTTTGAAAATCAATAAAAAAATAAAAATATCCCCATATAAATTGAAGTATAAAAAATAATCATCACCACAAACTCATTTTCTCTCTTCATGTTAAACTTCTCTTCTTTCTAACTTTTTTTATCAAAATCATAGCCTCCCTTCTAATAATTTATTCTTATACTCACAACCCACCAACCTCATCTCTTGCAAACCCACCACTCATGCTAACAATTATTTTCACTAAAAAAAAAAGAAAAAAAAAACCCAAAAGGCATGTCAAAAAGTGCAGGAATTGTGACTGCAGTTTTTCCGAATTTGAAACTATGAATGTAGACCCTAAAGACAATAAGATAATGCTAATACACAGCAACAAGCTTAATAATTATAAAGACACAATATTTATAAAATATTTCAAGACTTGTACAGATCCAATAAATTCGACTTTGAGTTCGACAAATAAGAAAACATGTTTTCTGAATTTGTTAACACACTGGCCAGAAGCATCACGAAACAAATTCACACAATACTGAATAATTTGCATAAAGCACCATGTCATTAGAACAAAATATTTTCTTTTGCAAGCCTTGTCTCTTTATTAGAACGTAATTGAAGACAATGAGTATAACTTTGTGGTCCTTATGATTGTCAGCACCATATAATTGTGACTGCAACAAGCCTTGTTTTTACTGGATGTTGATGATGACCGCTGAATCGGGACTAGAAAATCTAGATCGACAATTGTGGCTTCAATTTTGTTTGGTTGGTGAAGGAGATAATGGTGTGGGTCTCGGTTAAAGCTTGATGGATGTTAATTGAGAGAGAACGAAGGGTTAGGGTAGCTCTGTGGTTGCCCCTTGAAAAGAGCTGGGCTAGGTGGGCTAAATTTGATTGGCCCAAATTATTTTATAATATAAATCATGAATTTTATTGGGTTTAATAAATTTATTATTTTTATAAATTATTTTTATTTAATTATATAAAAAAAATAAATACTTGTAAAATAAAAAACTAACCCTAAATATATATTTATTTGAGATTATGATAATCTCGTAAGAAGTAAATAAAAATAAGCCATAAAATCTATTTCTCAACCAATTCAATATTAAAATATAAAATAATAGAAAATCAATTAAAAAAATTTAAAGACTACAAACTATATATATAAAAGATATCAAGTTTGGTAGGCAAACCCGCCAACCA